CCCCAAAACCCCAAAACCCCAAAACCCCAAAACCCCAAAACCCCTCTCAGTGGTGGTGGGATAAGGATTTTAACAGTTTTAATAAATTAATATTTAATTATGCATCCCGCAACAAGATGGCTGGCCATCGACTTGACCAGTAACGCCAAGAATGTAATTTTGACAAGTAAAACTTCTACAAGACATGGAAGTGAAGAGAAGAGGATTAGAAATGGCTGTATTAAAACTCATTTGTCTAATCAAATTTCTGACTCCTCAGGAAGCATCGAATTTGCTGACTTGACTAAGCCTGAGCCAATGTCTCTTAATTCCTCAAATAGTCTTGGTGATGAGGAAACAAGGATCAGTTTGGAGGTATCTTTGGGAGCTAAAACAATGATGAAGCCTGATTTTACTAAATCTCCAAAAGTTAGCGCTTTTTGGTCTCATAACGTCAATTTAAACCAGACAAAGGAGTTGAGTGGTAAATATTATAACTCCTTCTTTGCAGACTCAAGTGATTCTGAATCAGAGCCTGATCTATGAGAGACACCTAAAAGGTAACATCGATATATTTTAACTTAGCAGAAGAGGTACAGAAGTTTATCGGCCGGTGCAGACAATTCCTAAGTAAGCTAAATTTCTTAAAAATAGTTCTATCCAAAGCCATTCCATGCCTCAGTCACCCAAGACCCCCAATATGGTGTAAGTTCAGACCTATATGTTTATAGAAAACCTTCGTTTCCAAGGAAATGGAATCATCAGGGAAACAAATTTAGCCAAAAACCAAAGACATTAAAATTTATTGACACTACAAAAATCATGTCACCTAATCATATTGACTATTGGCTTCCATCATCTTTTGAAGAAATCCTTCAGGAAGAGGACTCTAGTGATTATGAGTTTGATGAGAAGAAGACATCTCTTGATGATAGTGTAAAAGGTATTTTAATCTCAATATTTATCGCAAAATTTCCTGAATAGAGTTCATACCTCATAGGCTACAACCCTGAGACACATTATGCAGACCCTTGTGTCAGGTACAAAAAGCTCCAAAAGTTCATGAGGAATGAGCAGAAATCATGAAGAAATTCCCAGTCTGAAAACCAGTAAGTGGCTTCCCAAAATATGCTTCCTTAACAAGTATTGTGAACATTTCTAGATATAAAAGAAAATCAGAATGCATCAATAAAAATCTGAAGAATTCGGTCACAATGAAAAACAAATTTTCAGGAAGAAGCCAGAACATATGTTCAACCAAGGACTTGTCTTTGAATAAAGCAAAGTTTCTAGATTCTAGAAATAGTAGAAATAGTGTCTCTCACCATGACAGGACAATTTCATACAATTCCTCAATAGATTCAGAAAATGGAATAAGGGAAGTGAGTCTAGAAGGTAATCTTGAAAGTCCTAGTCATTTCATGGTTAACAACACAAGAGTGATTAGACCCCAAACTAAGAAGAAGCATGAAAGAGAAGTGATTGGCTTTATTGATCATAAATATCAATTTGTTCTTCCTAACTGTGACCTCCAGCCTAAGGAGGAGAGTATTCTATCACTAGAAAAATTAAATATATTTAAATTACTTGGAAAAGAGTCACCTAACGAGGAAGTTTCCAGAAGGATCGCTTTGAATATCATTAAAGAAATCACAAGAGCAGAAGCTAGAAAATACCGTCATCACCCTCTGATGTATAAATTTGTTAGCAAGATTCTTGACCAGGACACCTCATATAGAATTTAGTTGCAAAAATTTCTATCTGAAGCAATTAAATAAAAATTCATTTTCCGCGCATATAATAGGGGTTTTGGGGTTTTGGGGTTTTGGGGTTTTGGGG